TTCCAAGTTGCCGCTACTAACCGCACCGTTTCTAAAACCGAGCCAGAACCTCCAGGTTCCTACTTCCAAGTCCGAGGCTAAGTTTTAAGGCACGGCCACACGAGCGCCTTTCTCAGCGCGCCGTTTGTGACATGATCCGCCATCCGATGTTTCCCTGTGGGCGATTCCCCAACCTGCTGACCGCACGGGGCAACCGAACCTTTCCGCTCGATTTCAGCAACAAACATGTTGTCTACGGTTGCCCGCGTGGCCTTCCTTTCAAGTTATATGTCATCTGTAGAAATGGAAGCTCACTGATGTGGATTCGTTCGTAAATGTGTATCATACTTCGTTTGGAGGATAAATACAGGCATGCTTCTTTGAGGAGCTTGGAAGCCGCGCGTATGTAAACAATGATGAAGTCACGGATACTTTCAAATGGATTTCCGTGTAAAAACTAAAATGGAAATAAAAGGCAATGTCTATTTTTAAAAATCATAATAGTTATATGAATCATAGGTGTATGATCATTATTATCTGTGTAGTTGAGTAGTCTTTCATTAGCAGACAGACTCTTATCATGCCCACTTCGCCGATTTCCGACCGATACATATCGTCCGCTTCTGCTTCCGACCAAGCAGTAGATTATGCGAACTCGGAAGATGAGGGAAGTGGAAACTTTTACTTAGCACTGACTTCTCCTTGAAAAGCAAAACGATCCCAAACCGAAATCCCGGAGAACCGAGCAGAACCTTCCTCCTCCGCCTCGACCACCAGGCGCCGCCCTCCGACGCCCGCTTCCGCCTGAGCCTCCGACCGAGTGCCTTCAGTCCCTTCTGCCGCGGCCAAACTTCCGCCTCGCCGCCGCTGAAAAATACGCAGTCTCCGCTGATAAATCTGCACACATCACGCCGCTGCAACACGGGGAAGCTGCAACGGCAATGCATTCGAGGGGAATCGGCAACGCACCGAGGAGAGAGGCGCGAGCAGCATCTCCAGGAAGTGTTCGCTTCAGGGAAGTCTTGCTTGTTTGTTCCCGCTATTCTCTCCTTTTACTTTCTTTATTTCTTCTTCTTTTTCTCTTTATGTCCCTTCTAACTCATTTTTCTTCTCCATTTCATCTCTTTACCTCGTCTTTCTGTTTCTACCTTCCTTTCCTGACTTGTTTCTTCTGTCCATGTCTCCTTTCCTTCTCAGTTTCTTCTTTCGTCTCCTACCGTCTTCTTTTCATTTTCTGCTTCTTCTTACTTTTTTTCTTTTCTTTCTTGTTCTACTGTTCTTGTTCCTTATCCTTATTAGTTTATGCCCTCTCTTCTTTTTATTTTTCCTTTCATTTTCCTTCTCCTTTTTGCTTCTTCCCATCAGTTTTACCTCTCTGTTTTTCTCCCTTTCCTTTTATTCTTTTCCCAGCATTTTCAGTTTTTTTCTTCCTGCCATCATTTCTATCCTTTGCTCCTTGTTCTTCTACTTCTTCCGTTCTTCTCCATCCTCCCCCTTCTGTTCCCCGTCTTCCGCTTCCTCCTTCCCCACTTCTCCCCTCCCCCCTCTGAACCCCGTCTTCGTCTTCGTCTTCGTCTTCGTCTTCGTCTTCGTCTTCGTCTTCGTCTTCGTCTTCGTCTTCGTCTTCGTCTTCGTCTTCGTCTTCGTCTTCTTCTTCTTCTTCTTCTTCTTCTTCTTCTTCTTCTTCTTCTTCTTCTTCTTCTTCTTCTTCCTTCTTTTCCCTCTCTGCACCCCCCCCCCCCTCGGCTTCCGCCTCTGTCTCTCCCGAGGGCGGCGCGGAATACATAACGAGGCAGAGCGCTGCCGGGTTATGAGCGGCCCTCATCAGCCGCCGACGTGGACAAATTACGGTCAGGCCGCGGATTATGTTCTCTCACGTTATCGTAGCGGCACTCGCAAGGTCAGGCTCCACCACGCCACCAAACCACGCCACTCCACCACTCGCAACATATTGATCACAATCGCCATCGAAACTCAGCACACAATCACAATCACCATCAAAGCCCACACCATAACAATCACAATCGCCACAAGCACCAGCACAAGCCAGGGCATCACCACCGCTAAAACCGACACCACAACAACAACACCCACTCCTCCCTCACAACACCCCCATACAATCTTCCCCGAATCAAGATGAACACAATCGCCGTGCCACCCGAGAGCCAACCAGCCCCTATCACCCAATCTAACCGTCACAAAACCACTGGCACTCCCCGCCCCCGCACCCCTACGCCGCCAGTGCCAGTGTCAACAATGGAACTCCTTTATTCAGGTGCAATTTGCGCTCAATGGCACACACTCGTTTTACCCGTCTCCTTTCTCTCTCTCTCTCTCTGTGTCTCTGTCTCTGCTTCTGTCTCTGTCTCTACGTCCCATACCCACATGCCCACCAACCCTGCACGCAGATTCGCTGATCACATTACCATACTGCGCCATATTAGCCCATAGCCCCTCCTAGGCCTACCGGCGGGACGTCCATGTTATTTGCGTCTTAAAGGAGGCTGTGACATCCGTGCTGAGTGTCCTGGTCAGGCGGTTGGAGGACTCGAGGTGTGTCGTAGGTGTACCCGGCCATAATGTATTTTTTTTCTTTCTTTCTCTCTCTTCTCTTCTCTTCTCTTCTCTTCTCTTCTCTTCTCTTCTCTTCTCTTCTCTTCTCTTCTCTTCTCTTCTCTTCTCTTCTCTTCTCTTCTCTTCTCTTCTCTTCTCTTCTCTTCTCTCCTCTCCTCTCCTCTCCTCTCCTCTCCTCTCCTCTCCTCTCCTCTTCGCTTTTCTTCGCTTTTCTTCTCCTCTCTTATCTTATCTTATCTTATCTTATCTTCTATCTGCTCTTCTATTATATCTTTTTTCTTTTCTTTTCTCTTCCCTTATTTCCCCTTCTTCTATTCTATTCCATTCTCTTCTCTTCCCTTCTCTTATTTTATCTTCTTTCTTATCTTCCCCCCTCCTGTCTTTTCTTTCCTCTTCACGTCTCCTTTCGCCTTTCCTTTCACTTTCCCTCTACTCTCATCTCCTCCCCTCCTGTTCTCCTTTATCTTTCTCTTCGTTTCCTTTTACCTCTCCTCTACTCTCATCCCATCTCATCTCATCTCCTCCCTTCCCCTTCTCTTCTCTCTCCTCTCTTTACCTCATTTCCTCTCTCCTTCTCTTTGTCGCTTTTCCTTCTTCCCTCTTTTCTCCTCTCTTTCTTTCGTTCTTTCCCCTCCCCTCCCTTCCTCTCTTTCTCTCCTCTCCCTGCCCCTCTTCCCCTCTCTTCCACCCCCCCACCCCCATGCAACCTCGCCACTGGCACCCAGAGCTCCATTCCTACGCCCCTTCTACGAGTGGAAGGCCGCCCGGGGTGGAGGGGCTGAGGCGGTAGGTAGTTAAGGAGGTAGGTAGGTAGGTAAGGAGGAAGGTAGGTGGGTAAGGAGGTAGGTAGGTAAGAAGGTAAGCAAGTAGGTAGGTAGATTGGTAGGTAGGTAGACAGCCAGCCTGCCATGCTACAGGTGTTGCGAGGGGTGCGGCTGTGAAAGTAATGCAACCGCAGGAACAAGAGTGAGTACTGACCGGGCAGGGGGGAGGGGGGCTGTACCTCTGCAATACGAATGAACAACGGAACGCCCCCCCCCCTACCCCGCCCGCCCGCCCGCTCCGCGTCCTCCCATCCCGAGCGACCGAAAGGATTTTTAGGTTCTGTGCTCGCTTCGGTTCTGTCAGCGGCGGCGACGAAATCCGGTTCTCGAACACTTTCACGTGGATCGGATCTCTCAACTACACGTGTTCCTCGGTTTTCTCCGTTTTCTCTCCGCGGCGGGTCGGACGAGAGACATCCAGCAATAAATACCTACTTCGGTATGATGAGATTTCTTATCCTTTCTGGCCCGCGTACCGTCCCTTAACAAACAAACAAAAACTGGAATCGCGAATACCTCTTCCTCCAGACCTCGGCAACACACACCGTATCTCAAACGCCAATGTCAATAAAACTGCGATACTGCCGAGGTATTTACACACTCCCACGGCTGAGGGACGGCGGGCAAACACGCCACGGCAGGTATTGCAATCGGTGTAGAAAAACGAACGCGCGTGTATTCCTGCAGAGAGGGAGAGAGGGAGAGAGAGAGAGAGAGAGAGAGAGAGAGAGAGAGAGAGAGAGAGAGAGAGAGAGAGAGAGAGAGAGAGAGAGAGAGAGAGAGAGAGAGAGAGAGAGAGAGAGAGAGGGGGGGGGGGGGGGTCAGACAACAGAGCAGCAAAAACAGAACTATATTCTCATTCCACACACTGACAGTCGTCTGCCAAGGAGGAAAAAGACTCTACCATGCCAATACCCGCCGAACAACCGTACCACATAACGCCCATAAAACCAATGACAGAAAAAAACGCATAACACACAAACTATAACACAATCTTGAGATAACAATTAACACAAATGCACAGGGAAACTTATTTGTAACAGGACCGAAACAACAACAAAAAGAACACTAGAAAACACACCAATAACACTCAGACCCAAAAAATACAACAGAACTCTAACGCAAAAATAACCCAAACCAAAAATAAACCACAATTATCATGTCCACCGCGATGCCGCCATCGATCCGCTTCGACAGAGAATGCCTGCAGTGAGGCCGTCCATCATTAAATCGAATCGATGCCGACACTCGAAGGGCATTGCGTGCAGGGGGATAATGCCTGCAATAAAAGGAGGGTCATGCAGTGCAATGCAAAAGCCTCGCAGGTGGCCTTGCAATGCGTCGGCGTGCATCGAGGCACTCCGTCGTTCAAATGGAAAATGCCAGAAAAATCTATGTTGGATACGGAAAACAATGATGATGATGGAGTTCATGATGGTCGTGGTGGTGGTGATGGTGGTGGTTGTGGTGATGATGGTGATGATGAGGAGGTGGATGGTGATACGATGGTAATAAATTATAACGAAGAAGAAGAAGAAGAAGAAGAAGAAGAAGAAGAAGAAGAAGAAGAAGAAGAAGAAGAAGAAGAAGATGGCATGCTGGCACCAATAGTAAAAGATTAAAATCCAATACCTGTACTCACACTTTAAGCAGCAGAATACATCGTCCTGTCTCGAATGTGCAACTTACCTGTAAAAAAAGAAAATAAAAAAGATTAACAATATATCTCGATTAAAATAAAACACGAATAGGTGACGAGTGTACAACACGACGTGATAACACTAGGTACAGAATAGCAAATACGAGCAACTCAGGACTCTGACAAACACACATACACACACACACACACACCTGTGGACCTGTAGCTTTATCTTTTTTCTTTTTTTTTATCCAACACGACATGATCACATACAGACACATCGCTTGTATTTGATTCAGGTCTGTATTGTGGAAGAAGTGTGTACTCTGTCAGAAACACCTGGTTAATAAGGATATATAAGGAACAGTGTTCGTTTTTCTCGTGTTTGTCTGTCTGTCAGCCTGTCTATGCTTCTATCTCTCTCTCTCTTACCACCTTTCTCAACCTCTCTCCCTCCAACTCCCCTTCCCCATTTCCTATCTAGATTCTCTCCCTTACATTTCTCTCCAGCCTTCTAGTTTTAATTCAACTAATAGACCAACCGAAACCAAGAGACCGATTTCCCAAGCTCAAAAACCCCTCCGCCCAGCGCCTCTCGGTCTCCTGCTCGTTCCTACTCCCTCCCCCACGCGTCCGCAGCCCCACGTGTTGTCAGATAGGCCCGTCCGCACTCCGGCTGTAGGCAGTCTTCAACGTCCGCCGCCGAGGGAGCAACAAACTTATCAGCCAGAGTGCCCGGAATCGCTAAGTGTGAGCTGGACGGCGAGTCGAGGCGGCGGAGCGGGTGACTGCATATGGATAAGGGTTGGCCACCCCGCCACGCAGCATACCTCACACCCGCCGAACCAGAGACCTCACCTGTCACCCCGCCAGCTCTTACACGGAAAGCTGGGTGACCAATTAGCTGATAACCTAATGCGATACACACACGCACACACTCCGAGAGAGAATTGCGTACATGACCTCACACACGCAAACACCTATCCACAAGTTCAAACACGCCTTTTTCCATTAAACAAGACAGGTGCCTCAAGTTAAAAAATATATAAATCATACACAGATATACAATTTCGACAACCCTCCCCCATCTCGTCACCTGCACAATGACCTTGATACCCCAAAGAAAATAAATTTATCCTCATCTTATATTTTTTCCGATGCTACCGAGGGGCAGGGCGCAACCCCTCCATCCGGCCACAATACCCCAGGGAATGACCGTGCAAGTAACAGGCACATACACCACAGGTGCGCTGCATCAAGTGTCGCAGACGAGAGGTATTGAACCAGGGGGGGAGAGAGAGGAGGGGGAGGGGAGTCCGGGAGATGGAGAGCTTGAGAGAGGGAGAGGGTCCGAAAGGAGTCCGAAAGAAATCCGAGAGAAGGAACCCAAGGAACGGCGTAAACTTGTTAGTCTTATTATGCCCAGTCACTCTTGCACACTCCCCAGACCAGGTGTTGCGTCGCTCTCCCTCTTCACCTGCTCCGCGAGGTACCAAGAGACGCTCTCTCCCACGAAGTCTATCTGCTCGATCGCTTTTGGCTTATGCGAACCCACACGCGACAGGAATTTACGCTTCGCCAATGGAAACAGAAAGAGGAGCAGGGGAGAGAAAAAAAAACTGTGGAATAGAAAGAAAATAAAGGAAAGAGGAGGAAAGAGTAAAATATGGAAATAGAAGGAAAATTAAGGAAAAACGGAGAGAAAACTATCGAAATCGAAGGGAAATAAATGAAAGAGCAGGAGGAAGAGAGGGGGAAATATGGATGTATAAGGAAAATAAATGACAGGAGAAGCAGAGAGAAAAATAAGAAAATATAAAATGATGAGCATATAAACAAGTATGGAAATAGAAGGTAAATGAAGGAAAGAGAAAGAAAGTATAGAAAGAGAAAAATGAAGGAAAAAAGAGAAAAATGTGGAAATAAAAGAGAAACACGGGAAGAGGGGGAGGAGAGAAAATATGGAAATGAAAGAAAATAAATGACAGGTGAGGGGAGAGAAAATATGGAAAAATGGGACATAAAGGGTAGGAGAAATAGAAAAAACACGGAAATCAACATTCATTATACATAATCACCAGAAATGGTAGTAGTGTACTTTCCAGCTAACACAGCCTCCCGACAACAAAAAACTTCACCTGCTTTTAAAAACAATTGAATAAATCAAACAAATTCTAAATGCAATACGCAATGTTACATGTATAATCACATAGTGGGCGTAAGGCTTACTCCAGTCACGACACCAGAAGGTGTGCCGCTCCGCTAAAGCACGGGCGTCGAGGACAAACAAAACAACAACGGGCGTGCGCGACGAGTGGGCGTGAGTCGAGGCTACACATACACACACACACTACGATGCTGCTGCCGCCACTAGTAACAACAAGGGCGTGGACCCAGTAGCTAAGGTGGTAGTGGGCGGCCGGAGCTGGCTGGGAGGGCCTCGCGATGGGCGTGTGGGCGAGCTGTGGCCGGTTCTCCTACACACGTGCGCTCTACGGCGGGACACACAAGAAGGCATCATCATATGGCACGCCGGTCACACCTCCAGCGTCCTCGGAAGGAACGCGACCAGGAACACGACAAAGGCTACGATCTGAATGCGACCGAGGAAACGACCAGGAACACTAGGACTACGACTAGGAACACGACCGGCAAGACTAGGACTACGAACAGGAACACGACCAGGAATACGTACAAGACTAACTACCTGCTTTATCACACCAAGAGACGGAACAGACACACTCATTCAATATACGGTAACATCGAAAGCAATATCTCAAGCGACTCTCAGCTTATAAAAACAAGAAACAAACAACAAACATCCGTTAAAACCGTTAAAAAAATTGACCGCCCCCAAAACAAACACATCTATACTAATCAAATCTGCGGGGAAAAAATCAAACACTTTGTCGCTGCCGTCACTCTGGTGAAATGACATAAACAACAGAACAAAACAACCTCGAAAACCATGTAATGATATCTCCTTATCAACCCTCGAACGAACACCGAGCAGCTGCCAGCCACATTCCCAACTAAATGAAGCAAGAATCAACTACTCTGATATAATGATGCAAGGGATTCCGTTGAGGTTGTTTCGACGCGTGGGCGAAGGGAAGGCGGGGGAGACTTTCCCTTCAGACGCATAACACCCTTCACCGCACACCGATAAAAACACCCGAAAAAGACCCTCACGCCCACGGGACGCCTCCCCTAACCGCCGTTATACGCCCACGCTTCACTTCGCATCAACCCGTGTGGCATTTCCTCCTCGAACTACCTATACCATCCCGCCCCTTCCCCCTCCATACCTTCCTTCGCCTCCCCCACCCCCTGAGAGCTCAGAAAAAAACAGACTTGTCGGTAATTAAAATCCGTCTCCGGGGCAGCACCAGGGCCGGCATCTCCCTTGAAATAGCTCGCACGTACTCAATCCCGAGGAAAGTATTATGATCTGGGAATCCGGTTCCCCTACGCTGGACAGGGCGGTGCCTCCACAGCTATTGCTAGTTAAGAGGCACTAGTGAGATCTCGTACTATCGTGGGCGGGCACAGGGCGGCTGCCACTACCCCCTAGAGCTAGTGAAAGTGCGCAGTACACAGCTTCTTCATACAAACTAGGATTTCTAGTCTCCCGAAACGCCACTATTTTCTAAGCTTGCAGCGCCTCCAATAGCAAGAAATGTATGTCTATAGATAGCCCAGATCCTACATTCTTCGTTAGCGAAGCAAATGTCACGACTGTTGCTAGCTGAGAAACCACTGGCTGTGAGCTGAAACAGGTGCAAGTCTTAAATCTGGGGGCTAGAATAATTGCACTCTATTGTGTCCCAACACGTCTTGTTTCTAACGTAAACAAGTGATAAACAACTCTTTATAGTGCTTACAATGCTTATTGAAATGAGTAAAAATGATCAAATATCACACCGGACTGTGTGCCTTGTAACATGTTATGAAAAGGAAATAAATCAAAGCTAACAATTTTTCATGACAAGACATCCACTGAAAAATCATTAATTCTCATCCATACTCATCTTCAATAAATGCATCAATAACGCCGAAAAAAACATCCCGAGGACTTCCAACGCCCAAGGCAAGAATCATAACGATCAGTATTAACACCGCTTAACAAAACTACGACGAAACCCATAAACCATTCCTGTAAACCACAAACATCCTGAAAGAGTCCATTATCATTCCACACTCTGGAACTCTAATGACCCCATTTGAGGACGGAAACTAAAGGGAAAAGTGAACATCGCAAAACACGCAAGGAGGTTCCTCAAACGCTGCAATCAAGATAAAAAACCATTAATAATATCCTGGCATCCCCCTCCACTCCATTCTACTCCCCTCCCCACCATCCCCTACCCTTCCCTGTACCTCCCTCCTACATTATTTTATTCGATCTGTAGTCCTTGTAGGATTCGTGTAGATTCAGTGCTTCAAGTGTCAGAATAAACATCCTACGCAAGCGATTGAAAACCATGTTTATGTTATTTAGATTGACTAATTTCTCTGGCGTTTTATGATTTCGTTCTCATGATCGAAAATGCGTGTACGCAACGATACAAATCACAACTGAAAATACACTACTGATTTCTTCAAACGAGGCCTAATACCCACACTTCTCCGGATGATTTTCTTATAATTTGAAGAAAAAAAAACTCTTCTGGTAATATCACGCAAAAGAGAAAATAAAAATACAAAAAACAAACACATTGCTAATGCATCGATAACCTTGCAACCGCCATCGTGCAACCGCCCCGCCACGAAGCTGATCATTTTAGGGACCGAGTCTCGCGGCGCTTGAAATTACCTGCTCACCAGGTGGGCGTCCGTAATTAAAACACTCACACCTCGCCTCCACTTGACCCTAAGGCTCTCCCCGTTAATACACGCTGCACAAAACACCTGCCCATTAAACCGCGCGTTTATGGAGACATCAAGGGAAATGCAGCAACCCCTGACTCGTTGTTATCAACAAACCCTTCACGCTCGCACAGAAATCAACACTGCGTCACGAATAAATCTCATCCCATCATAAAAAATA